GTAGTAGTAGTAGTAGTAGTACTAGTAGTAGTAGTAGTAGTAGTAGTAGTAGTAGTTGTGGTAAGAGTAGTCGTAGTCGTATTATCAGTACCAGTGCTGGTAGTAGTTATAGTAGTAGTCGGAGTCGTAGTCGCCGTCGTTGTCGCCGCAGTAGTAGGGGTAACAGTAAGAGCAGTAGTAGTAGTAGTAGTAGTAGTAGTAGTAGTAGTAGTAGTAGGAGTAGTCGTAGTAGTAGTAGTAGTAGTAGTAGTAGTAGTAGTAGTAGTAGAAGTAGTAGTAGTAGTAGTAGTAGTAGTAGGAGTAGTGGTATGAGTAGTAGTAGTAGTAGTAGTAGTAGTAATAATAGTCGTAGTAGTAGCAGTAGTAGTAGTAGTAGCAGCAGTAGTAGTAGTCGTAGTAGTAGGATTAGTAGTAGTCGTAGTAGTAGTAGTAGTAGTAGTATTAGTGGTAGTAGTAGTAGGAGTAGTAGTAGTCGTAGTAGTAGTAGTAGTAGTAGTAGTAGTAGTAGTGGTAGTAGTAGTAGTAGTAGTAAGAGTAGTAGCAGTAGTGCTAGTGGTAGTAGTAGCAGTACTCGCAATAGTAGTAGCATTACTCGCAGTAGTAGTAGAAGTAATAGTAGTAGCAATACTGGTAGGAGTCGTCGTCGTAGTAGTAGTGGTAGTAGTCGTAGTAGTAGTAGTAGTAGTAGCAGCAGCAGCAGTAGTAGTAGTAGTAGTAGTACTAGTAGTAGTATTAGTGGTAGTGGTAGTGGTAGTGGTAGTAGTAGTAGTAGTAGTAGTAGTAGTAGTAGTAGTAGTAGTAGTACTGGGTCGTAGCAGTAGTAGTAGTAGTAGTAGTAGTAGCAGTAGTAGTAGTAGCAGTAGTAGTAGTAGTAGTCGTCGTAGTCGTCGTCGCCGCAATAGTAGTAGTAGTGGTAGTAGTAGTAGTAGTAGTAGTAGTAGTAGTAGTAGTAGTAGTAGTGGTAGTAGTGGTCGTAGTGGTAGTAGCCGTACAATGAATAATAGGAGCAGTCGTAGCAGGAGTAGTAGTAGTAGTCGTAGTGATCGTAATAGTAGTAGTAGTCGTACTCGGCGTCGTCGTAGTAGTAGTCGTAGCCGTAGCAGTTGTAGTTGTAGTCGTAGTAGTAGTAGTAGTAGTCGTAGTAGTAGTAGTAGTAGTAGTAGTAGCAGTAGAAGTAGTAGTAGTAGGAGTAGTAGTAGTATGTAGTTAGTAGTTTAGTAGTAGTAGTAGTAGTGTTAGTTGGAGTAGTAGTAGAAGTAGTACTAGTAGTAGAAGTAGTAATAGAAATAGTAGTAGTAGTAGTATATCAGTAGTTTGTAGTAGTAGTAGTGGTAGTAGTAGCAGCAAGTACGTAGTAAGTAGTAGTAAGTAGTAGTAGTTAATAAATAGTAGTATTTAAGTAGTAGTAGTAGTAGTTAGTAGTAGTAGAGTTGGTAGTAGTAATAGTGGTGGTGGTGGTGGTTGGTGGATGGGTTGGTTAGTTAGTAGAATTCAGTGCAGTAGTAGCAGTAGTAGTAGTAGTAGTTAGTAGTAGTCGTAGTAGTAGTAGTAGTAGTAGTGCAGCCGAGTCGTAGTAGTAATAGTAGTTAGTAGTAGTTGTTAAGTAGTAGTAGTAGTAGTAGTAGTAGTAATAGTAGTAGTCGTCGTGAGTAGTAGTGTAGTAGTCTTAGTAGTAGTAGTAGTATAGTAGTACTAGTCGTAGTTTGGTACACGTTAGTAGCAGTATAGTAGCCGTCGTGTTGGTTGCAGTAGAAGTCGTTGTAGCAGTAGTAGCAGTAGTAGTAGTAGTAGTAGTAGTAGTAGTAGTAATAGTAGTAGTAGTAGTAGTAGTAGTAGTAGTAGCAGTCATACCATTAGAAGAAGAAGAAGTAACAGTAGAAGTGTTGAATAATTGATCGTCGTAGTAGCCAAATCCGTAGTAGTAGGAGTAGTAGTCGTATAAGTAGTAATAGTAGTAGTAGTAGTAGTAGTAGTAGTAGTAGTAGTAGTAGTAGTAGTAGTAGTAGTAGTAGTAGTAGTAGTAGTAGTAGTAGTGGTAGTAGAGTAGTCGTAGTAGTAGTAGTCGTAGTAGTAGTATTAGGAGTAGTAGTAGTAGTAGTAGTAGTAGTAGTAGTAGTAGTAGTAGTTTGCAGTTAGTTAGTTAGTAGTTGTAGTAGTAGTTTAGTGTAGTTAGTAGTAGTGGTAGTTGTCGTAGTAGTAGTAGTAGTAGTCGTTAGGTAGTGGTAGTGGTAGTGATAGTTGGTAGTAAGTAGTAGTTAGTAGTAGTCGTACGTTGTAGTAGTAGTAGTAGTAGTCGTTGTAGTATTAGTAGTAGTTAGTAGGTAGTCGTAGTAGTAGTAGTAGTGTTTAGTAGTAGTAGTGTAGTGTAGTAGTAGTCGTAGTAGTAGTGTAGTAGTATAGTGTAGTCGTAGTAGTGTAGTAGTAGTAGTTGTAGTAGTAGCAGTTAGACGTAGTAATAGTAGTAGGCGTAGTTAGTAGCAGTAGTAGTAGTTAGTAGTAGTAGATCTTGTAGTAGCGCTCGTCGTGTAGTGTAGTGTAGTGTTAGTAGTTGTAGGAGTGCTCGTAGTAGTAGTAGTAGTAGTAGTCGTCGTAGTAGTAGTAGTAGTAGTAGTAGTGGTAGTAGTAGTAGTCGTAGTAGTAGTAGTAGTTCTAGTAGCAGTAGGTCGGACTAGTAGTAGTAGCAGTAGTAGTCGTCGTAGTTGTAGTCGTAGTTGTAGTATTAGTAGTAGTAGTAATAGTAGTAGTAGTAGTAGTAGTAGTAATAATCGTCCTAATTGTAGTAGTAGTAGTCGTAGTAGTAGTAGTAGTAGTAGTAGTCGTAGTAGTAGTAGTAGTAGTAGTAGTAGTAGTAGTAGTAGTAGTAGTGTGTAGTAGTATCAGCAGTAGAGTAGTAGTAGTAGTAGTAGTAGGTAGTAGTAGTAGTAGTAGTAGTAGTAGTTAGTAGTAGTAGTAGTAGTAGTAGAAGTAGTAGTAGTAGTAGTAGTATCGTAGTAGTAGTTGTAGTTCAGAAAGTAAGTAGTAGTAGTAGTAGTAGTAGTAGTAGCCAGTAGTAGTAGTAGTAGTAAGTAGTAAGTAGTAGTAGTAGTAGTTAGTAGGTTTGGTAGTAGTATTTATTAGTAGTAGTTGTGTAGTAGAGTAGTAGTATCAGTAGTAGTACTGGTATTTTTATTATTACTAGTATGATTATTATCATTATTAACATTATCATTATTAACTAATAGTAGTAGTAGTCGTAGTAGTAGTAGTAGTAGTAGTAGTAGTAGAAGAAGTAGTGGTAGTAGTAGTAGTAGTAGTAGTAGTAGTAGTAGTAGTAGTAGTAGTAGTAGTAGTAGTAGTAGTAGTAGTAGTAGTAGTAGTAGTAGTAGTAGTAGTAGTAGTAGTAGTAGTAGTAGTAGTAGTGGTAGTAGTAGTAGTAGTAGTAGTAGTAGTAGTAGTAGTGGTAGTAGCAGTAGTAGGAGTAGTAGGGGAGTGTAGCGCACTGTAGCGTAAAGGCTTATGGACGAACAAAAACATGAAAAAAACAACTTAGTTGCGCTTGCGCCAGTTCGGACATCCTACCCCTCCGGCCCATTCCTTCCACTTGCGGTGGTGTTTCTCTACCCGTACGTGTGTCGTAGCAGATCTGGGACCCCCAACTGGCTCCATAGTGTTATGCCCAGGCAGAGAGGGAGGTGTGTACATTTGAGGAGGTGGAGGAGGAGGTGGCAGATGAGCATGGAAATGAGCAGGAGGAGGAAGAGGCGGAGGAGGCGGAGGAGGAGGAAGAGGAGGAGGAACAGCCGCAACAGCAGGAACATGGGCAGGAGGAACGGAAGGAGCTGGAGGACCAGGGAAAGGCAGAGGAGGGGAAATGGGGGCGACAACAGCGAGGAGGGACTCTGATCCAGAAATCAGGCCCGGAACTGGGACGAGGGCGCCATGCTGAACGACGGGAGTCAAGCGCCGATCCTGAAAGAAGGCCAAGGCTGCAGCGGGAATATCATTTAAAACAATGGAAACGGTCGGATTGGAGCAAAGCATTTGCTATCTCAATGTTTGAAGCCAGTGCGTAAAAAACAATTCGCTGAGAGGGCGGAATACCTTCCGGGCTGAGTCGGAGTTGAGAGGTGAGAATTTCGTTCGCATTGGATGATTGCTGTGGGCGAGAAAGAGCTGGAACAGAGCAGGAGCAGGAGCAGGATAAGAAGGGGGCGGGAATGCACCGCAACACGAAGGTGCAGTGCAGGACTGGCAGACAGGGGGGTCGGAACGATACAAATTCACGCTTTCAAGGTATGGCTGTGCCGTTGAGGGCTTCTTTTCGGCCAAGTGTGCCCTACCGAGAATTGTCCAGTCACCCGACTAGGCCCAAACCCGATGCCACCGCACAGGTGAAAGTTGGAAGTGGCGACCGGCCCGTGGCTGAAGTGCGTCCACTGTTCCCGTTTGCGCAAAGACATGAAGAAACAAATGCCGATCTATTTGAATTTGTGTACGGGAGATGACACAGTTTGCCCAGAATCGAACCACGCAGTCTGGACTGGGCAATTTTCGAAATCGGTGGATCAGAGCGAGACAGATATCAAAACCACGTATTTCTAAGTGTCGTAATGTCTTTCGGGGGTGCTACGGTTCTGAGTCCGGTCCAGTTGGACGTCAGGATAGGACAGGCAAGGAGCACGTCGGTGATATGATTCTGGCCACGCCTACAACCCCTTGCTGCAATCTATAGGTAGGACATCAGGTTCCAAACCAGACGGTCGGGGTTCGACCCCCAGTGGCGGCTTGTAGTTTGGGAGCCCAGAAGACTACGTGACCACTTTGTTTTGTTGACCATACATACCTTACAACGAATTAACTGTTGTCCCCCAGGCGACCCCCAGGAAGACACTCCGACCATTGCCTCCTTCGAGGCATCTACAGGCCACCTTCATGCTCCCACGGCTCTGTCGATCCCCAGACAACTGTGCTACACTGCATGCGTGTGTTGATTGTTTTCGTCATCTCACGTCGAGGGTCGCAGACGTTCTGGCTCCAGCTGTCTCGGCCCGTGCGAATTTGCGCTGAGCATTCTCAAGTGAGGGTGCCCTGCCTCAGGCTGGGGTCATCTGGATGACAAGCCGGCTCAAGGTGATCGCGGGGGTGACGGCGGCATTGGCTGCTCTTGCTGTGTTCAGGCGCAGACGGAGGGCCAACGGGAAGAAACCGCCCGCCTCTGATCCGAGTGGTTTTATAGACCTTTGTCGTTTAATTCGCGCCGGCAGCCCTTCAGTGTTTTTCGCTCAGCGACGGGGAGTCCTTGGAGACACGTTTACGTTGGCATTTCCGCTCAAGTGCGTCGTGTTCACGAACGTTGACGACATCATAGCGATTACAGCGCTTGAGAATCGCCTCAACATGTCTATCAAGATGCCACCAGCTTACGAGGCTTTGCATGGTCAGGACTTGCTGCTGTCAAAGGGATCCGCCCACAAGATTTGGCGACGTACTTTCAATGCGGTCGTATCACCTCGAGCACTTGAGAGCTACCTGCCCAGGATAATCAGTGCTTTTGGGGCCATGTGGACTTCACTGGCAGCGCTTGGCGGTGAAGAGGTGGTCCTGCGTGATCACATACGGCGTGCGCAGCTGCGGGTTATGGCAGACATTTTGTTTGGTATCACGTTCGCGGGGCCTGGCGGCGAGGAAGCGTTCCAGAAGCTTGATAGAGACTTTCAGCAGGAGGTGGGTGCCTTGTTCGCGCTGCCGCTGAACATTCCTGGAACGACGTTCCATAAAGGCATGAAGGCTGCTCGCCGCATCCGCGGACTTCTGGCAACACGATTCAAGGAGGAGTCCCAGCGGTTCTCGAAATCGGATGTCCCCGTCACTCTGCAGGGCAAGGAGCGGCCGTTGCGAAATGCCATCGACGCGGTAATCGAGATGCTGCGTTCGTCCGACCCTGAGGTTCGGAAGCTCGGTGACGACGAAGCCTTAATCGTGAACAACCTGCTTCTGCTGCTAGAGGCCTCTCACGGAACTCGGAGCATGAAAAGATACCCATACCACGCTGCTGCTCATCCTGGAGAGCCCTCGTCGCCACGGCTGGATTCACCTCGAAATTCTGGTCAGAGCGCGCCCCTAGAGAGGTCTGGGGTGTACGGCGTCGGCATCTCTTCGTTCACCCAGGAACAACAATGTATGCTACAACCGCTCTCATGGCCGAGCTTCACAGGCCCGAGAGTGCGGATGCGCTCGCCCAGCTGCGGGAGGAGGTGGCTGCCATGACCTCCTCGGGAGCAACTTTGGATTTGCAGGCAGTGGGAAGCATGAAGTATGCAGACGCCTGCATCAATGAAATTCTGCGGCTGTATCCTTTCGCCGGAGGCATCCCAAAGTTCTTGCCGCCAGGAGAGGTTCTCGATGTGAGGGGGACTCAGTTCGAGGGCCCCACTGACTTGCAGCTTTATCCAGCTGCCTGCGGCAATTCCCGCCGCCGTGCCAGCCCAGCCTTCTCGGTAGCGGCTGGTTGTATCCGTGACGAGGATGATGACGATTCTGATGATGATGATGCGGCTGCGGCTGATGATGATGATGGTGATGATGATGGTGATGATGATAGTGACGGCAAGTAATGATACTACCGATGGTGATGGCGGTGGTGGTGGTGATGGTGATGATGATGGTGATTATGATGATGAACTGCCGATGGTGATGGTGGTGGTGGTGATGGTGATGATGATGCTGCTGATGATGATGACGATGAGAGGATGAAGAGGGGGAGGATGATGAGAGGAGGAGGTGGGCGAGTTGGACGATCGTGGTGGACGAGGAGGGGTAATCATATGACACTGGTGGTCATGACGATGCGGAGTAGATGGACGAGGACGAGGATGGTGGTAATTATGCTGACGATGATAACTATAAGGAGGACGAGGACGACGAGGAGGATAAGGAGGAAGAGGAGAGCCCTCATGGACCTCATTTGGGCGAGGATCGTGGTGGACGAGGGGGATGAATAAGATGATGATGGCGGTGATGCTTTGGAGGAGGAGGAGGACAATGACGAGCATGGTGTTGACGGCGATGACGATGATGATGATGATGATGCTGATGATGATGGTGATCGTGATGGTGATGATGGTGATGGTGATAGTGATAATGATGAGCATGATGATGTTGATGATGGTGGTGGTGATGATGCGGATGTTGATGCGGATGTTCATTATGATGCTGATAATGTTGATGCTGATGTTGATGTGGATGCTGATTATGATGATGATGATGATGATGGTGATGATGGTGATGATGCTGGTGACGATGATGCTGAAGAAGATACTGATGATGATGAAGATGATGAAGATGAAGATGATGATGATGACTATGATGGTGATGGTGATGATGCTGATGACGATGATGATGATAATGATGAGTATGATTATGATGATGATGCTGATTATGATGATGATGGTGATGGTGATGATTCTGATTCTAATGATACTGATGATGGTGATGATGATGATGACGGACATGATGATGATGATGATGATGATGATGATGATGATGATGTGGATGCTGATGATGATGATGATGATGATGATGATGATGATGATGATGATGATGATGATGGTGATGGTGATGGTGATGGTGATGGTGATGGTGATGGTGATGGTGATGGGGATGGGGATGGGGATGGGGATGGGGATGGGGATGGTGATGATGGTGATGATGACGATGATGGCGATGCGGAGGAGGAGGAGGAGGAGGAGGAGGAGGAGGAGGAGAATGAGGAGGATATCGTCACATGTGACGCCTTTCGCTTTCACTTCTCGAGAGGCCCTCATGGATCTCACGTGGGCCGCCTTGGGGCTGTCTCGGGCTCCTGGTTGGCACTCTGGGAGGTCCCTTGTGGCTTTTTGGGCCGTCTGGGGATCCTCTGCGGCCGTCCTTGGGCTCTCTTGGGACTCTCGTGGCTGTATGGGGGTCTCATGGGGCCGTCCTGAGGCCGTCTTGGGCCGTGCAAGGAGGTCAGCTTCGGCCATCTTGAGACCAACGTGGGCTGTCTTGGAGCTATCTTGGGCCCTCGTGGAGGTGTCTTGGCCGTGGAAGCGCGCACCTGTAGCACATTGCGAAGGATTGCGGCCTCGGGAGGTCGAACTCGCTGCATTTTACGACGGGCTGTGGCCTCGAGGGTGCGAACGCATCGCTTCGTTTTGCGCGGGGGTTGTGGCCTCGAGGGAGTGGGCGGTGCATGCGGCGCAGCGTGGCGAATGAGGCGAGGGCGCCCTAAATCATACAGAAACCCTGCCAGACAGCACTTTGGCATTGCAGCACGCCCCAGCGTGCCAGGGGGCACGGCGACGGATTTCTCGCACGCGTTCGTCGACGCAGATCTCTTCCCAGAGCCCTTAGCATTCAGACCACAGAGATGGTTGAAAACATGTGTGCCGGAGAATCTGCGCGCTAGCGAAACTGCTCGGAAGTCGTTCATGCCGATGGGTCTTGGCTCTCATATCTGCCTGGGCGCATCTCTAGCACGCCTCTCCATGAAATCCATGCTCATCGCATACTGCCAGGGCGCCTTCCACATGCACCTCACTGGCCAGGTGGAGCGCGTGCCAGACATCATCCCAGAGTGGAAGGTGAAAGACGGCTGCCGAGCCCGCGTGTACAATCGAGCGCAGGGCGCGTGAGGCCCGTGTGAAGTCGGGCCTGTCTCTCTACAGGAGGAATCTTCAAGCGTAGCCAAAACATAGCCTGGGGATTATTCCTTCCCGGAAAGGGCATAAGCCCAGGGTTCTCTTTTAGTGGGTTTACCCCTGGGTTTGACATGAGGTGGGCCAGCGAATTTCTTATGCGCTAAATATCGAGGTCGAGGTGGGCCGGCGAATTAACATCCTTTGAGGATTTCTCGAGCGGAACGCTTGTTTTTCAGAATTTGTTGAGGATGTCTCGAGCTAAACGCTTGTTTTGTGTGATAGATTGTCCTCTCCTGGGGACCAGGATTCAGAGGATCTCTCAAGTGAAATGCTTGTTTTCACGTGCCCAGGTCATGAGGATGTCTCGAGCGAGACGCTTGGTTTCACGCCTGCAGGTTGCCCAGGCAGAGGTCTAGCGCCAGGATTTGTTGAGGACGTCTCGAGCGAGACGCTTGGTTTCACGCGTCCTCGTCGCCCAGGCGGATGTGTAGTATGCGGATGTGTTGAGGAAGTCTCGATCGAGATGCTTGTTTGCACGTGTCCAGGTTGCCCAGGCGGTCGCCTAGCATGAGGATGTGAGGATGTGTTGAGAATGTCTCGAGAGATACGCTTGTTTTCACGTGTCCAGGTCGCCCAGGCGGATGTCTAACATGAAGATGTGTTGATGATGTCTCGAGCGAGACGTTTGCTCACGTGTACAGGTCGCCCAGGCGGATGTCTAGAATGAGGAGGTGTTGAAAACGTCTCGAGCGAAACGCTTGTTTTCACGTGCCCAGGTCACCGAGGCGGACGTCTCACATGAAGATGTGTTGAGGATGTCTTGAGCGAACCACTTGTTTCCACGTGTCCGGTTCGCCCAGGCGGATGTCTAGCATGAGAATGTGTTGAGGATGTGTTGAGCGAAACGCTTGTTTTCACGTGTCCAGGTCGCTCAGGCGGATATTTCGCATGAGGATGTTGACAGGATGTCTCGAGCGAAACGCTTGACCCAAGCAGGTTCCGTAGCGCGTCCCCTTGGCACGTCCCGCGGTGCGTCCCCATGGCACGTCCCCTGGCACGTCGCTTGGCGCTTCCCTTGAGACGTTCCGCGGCGTGTCCTCCTGGCATGGGCCCCTGTCAATGAGCTCAGGGGCAGCTACTATGTGTTCAGGCAGCTCGAGGTTAAGATCCAGATCAGTTCGGTCAGGACTCGGATGCAAAGGAGGACTCGATCCACAACGCTATAGAGCACAATCGCGGCATGGCACATCGCCATTCAGCACGGCGCAGCACAGCACAGACCTCGGCAGGGTACATCAAGATCGATACACTCGGCATTGCATTCGCCCGTCACCCAACCAGGTGTCATTGAAAACGCTGCCACGTGTTGCAGTTCTGTATTCCTTCCCGGGTTCGTGGATCGATCATGTTGGGGGGCATTTTTGTTGCGTATTTGGAGGGTATTGTTGGGGGGCATTTCTTGGGGGCATTTTTTGCGCATTCGGGGGGTATTTTGGTCCTTTGGCCTAGGCTCGATCTGGCCTTGGGCTTGATTTCGATTCGATGCCCGTTCTTCCCCCTATCGCTCTGTCCTCGGGGAGGTCTCCGGGGACCGTGTGGATGTGATACACGATCCCGGGGGGGGGAGGGGGGGGGGAAATTCGTTACTTTTCTTCTTCCCCGCGGCACTGTATGCAGCCCCCCGGGCTCAAAGTTTGGGGGGCACTTTTTGCGTATTCTGCGGGGTATTTTTTTGGGGGGTGCTCTTCCTCTCTCCCCAGACCCCCGACGTTATGATTTTTTCATGACGCGACCCCAGAGGTCCCGACCCCTTCCCCGGGACCGGTTTTTCGTCCTGAGTCGTTTTTTGACGGTCCCGAGGCCCGGTGAGGGCCCCCAGAGGCCGAAAATGGCGAAAAACCTCCCGTCATGATTTTTTCATTACTCGAGGGGGTCTGGGTCTCCTCCCAGCATCCCCCCCGCAAGGGGGGCACCGGCCCGACGTCCGGCCCGCGGCCTCGCTCCCGGAGGCCTCCGCCGCCCGAGGGGGCGCGCCTCCGCGGGGCGCGCCTCGCGGAGCTCGGCCGCCCCTCCTCCTCCTCCTCCTCCTCCTCCTCCTCCCCCTCCTCCTCCCCCTCCTCCTCCCCCTCCTCCTCCTTCTCCTCCCCCTCCTCCCCCTCCTCCGCCTCCTCCTCCCCCTCCTCCTGCGGCTCGGCCGCCACTCCGCGGGCGGCGCGCACCCCGCGGGCTCGCCGCAGCGCCGGGCGCCGCCGTCGCGGCCCGCGGCGCGGCGGGCGCCCCGCGGCTGGGCGGCCGAGCCGCCGAGGTACGGAGGAGGAGGAGGAGGAGGAGGAGGGGAGGAGGAGGGGGAGGAGGAGGGGAGGAGGAGGAGGAGGAGGGGGAGAGGAGGAGGGGAGGGGGAGGGGGTAGGAGGAGGAGGAGGAGGAGGAGGAGGAGGAGGAGGAGGAGGAGGAGGGAGGAGGAGGAGGAGGAGGAGAGGAGGAGGAGGAGGAGGAGGAGGAGGAGGAGGAGGAGGAGGAGGAGGAGGAGGAGGAGGAGGAGGAGGAGGAGGAGGAGGAGGAGGAGGAGGAGGAGGGAGGAGGAGGAGGAGGAGGAGGAGGAGGAGGAGGAGGAGGAGGAGGAGGAGGAGGAGGAGGAGGAGGAGGAGGAGGAGGAGGAGGAGGAGGAGGAGGAGGAGGAGGAGGAGGAGGAGGAGGAGGAGGAGGAGGAGGAGGAGGAGGAGGAGGAGGAGGAGGAGGAGGAGGAGGAGAGGAGGAGGAGGAGGAGGAGGAGGAGGAGGAGGAGGAGGAGGAGGAGGAGGAGGGGAGGAGGAGGAGGAGGAGGAGGAGGAGGAGGGAGGAGGAGGAGGAGGAGGAGGAGGAGGAGGAGGAAGGAGGAGGAGGAGGAGGAGGAGGAGGGGAGGAGGAGGAGGAGGAGGTGGGGGGAGGAGGAGGAGGAGGAGGAGGAGAAGAAGATTCGAGCAGGCAGGAGCTGGAGGGGAAGAGTCGGGAGGGGATGAAACACACAGACACAATGAATTGTCGTTTCCCAGCAAGAGATGGAAAAAACGGGAAGTGGATGGGAGGAGGGCGAGGATCCAGAAGATGTGGGAGAACATGGGAAATCTTGGGGGACATGCGTGCGCTTATATTTGTGTGTCCCTGGGCCCCCTATCGGAGAGGGGGATTCCACAAGCTATGGGGGATCCTGGGATTTGTGCCCATTTGCCTGTGCCTCTCTGGGCCCCTTCGCCGCGGAAGCAGCCACCCGCCCCCGCTGCGGCAGCCCCTTCTCCGCGGCTGCCCGGAGCGCGGACTGCTCGGTCGCAGATCGTGGGGGCCCTGTATGCCCTCGCAGTTCCGTCTCTGGAGCGCCGCTGCGTCGATTGGCGTCCGGCAGTGGATGAGGCAGCGCCTTTTTGGCGTCGACCAGCGCCGACTAGCCTCGATTTCGCGTCGATCTCGTGTCGAGTTAGCGTCGGTCAGCGTCGATTAGCGCTGATTTGCAAGAGCCAACAAGATGGTTTTGGAGGCTCCAATGGGTTGCCGCAGAAGGGGGGTATGTGGGGGCCGGACCAAACAATTGTGCACCGCACCGCTCCTGGGCCGAGAATCGACCACGCCGCGAGAAGCAACAGAACGGCACCGGTACAGTGCACACGCGTCGTCCGCGAATTTCTCCCGGCGCCGCTGCATCCCGGCAGCCGACTCGAGGATGCGAGCAGTGCGGAGCGCCCCCCGCCGGAGCGTGCCCGCCTCCGGCGCTGCGTCCTCCGACGCGGACCCCGCCGCTGCCCAGAGGTCCGCGCGGCCTTCGACCCGCCGCCGAGCCCAGGGGCCCGGTGCCCTGCACGCCTCCCAGACCTCCTCGGGTCGTGAAAAAATCACGACGGGAGGTTTTTCGCTATTTTCGGCTTCCGGGGGCCCTCGCCGGGCCTCGGGACCGTCAAAAAACGACTCAGGACGAAAAACCGGTCCCGGGGAATGGGTCGGGACCTCTGGGGGTCGCGCCATGAAAAAATCATGACGTCGGGGGTCTGGGCTCCCAGACCCCCCGCGTCATGGCAAGACTCACGACGGGAGGTCTTCCGTTGCTTCCGGCCCCAGGTGGGCCCCTTCGCGGGCCCTCGGGGCCGTCCACAGACAAGGCCCGGGCTGACGGACCGGTCCCTGGAAAGGGGTCGAGATCTGACCCTGGGTGGTTGCGTTGTTTTTTCTTTTTCTCCCCGCAACCCTGTGACATTGCAACCCCGCGACCCCGCAAACCCCGGAACCCCGCAACGCCGCAACCCCGCAACCTCGCGATTCCGCAACCCCGCAACCTCGCGATTCCGCAACCTCGTAACCCCGCAACCCCGCATTCCCGCAACCCCGCGACCCCGCAACCCCTCGACCTCGCAACCCCGCAACCCCGCAATCTGCAACCTCGCGACCGCGCAACCCCGCATTCCCGCGACCCCGCAACCCCGCGACCACGCAACCCCGCAACCCCGCAACCCCGCAACCTCGCGATCGCGCAACCCCGCACCCACGCGACCCCGCAACCTCGCAACCCCGCAACCCGTGACGCGGCAACCTCGCAAACCCCGGAACCCCGCAACGCCGCAACCCCGCAACCTCGCGATTCCGCAACCCCGCAACCTCGCGATTCCGCAACCTCGTAACCCCGCAACCCCGCATTCCCGCAACCCCGCGACCCCGCAACCCCTCGACCTCGCAACCCCGCAACCCCGCAATCTGCAACCTCGCGACCGCGCAACCCCGCATTCCCGCGACCCCGCAACCCCGCGACCACGCAACCCCGCAAGCCCGCAACCCCGCAACCTCGCGATCGCGCAACCCCGCACCCACGCGACCCCGCAACCTCGCAACCCCGCAACCCGTGACGCGGCAACCTCGCAACCCCGGAAGCCCGCGACCGTGTAACCGCGCAACCCCGGAACCCCGCAACCTCGCAACCCCACAACCCGGCAACCGCGCAACCTCGGAACCGCGCGACTCCACAACCGCGCAACCCCGGAACCTCGCTACCTCGCAACCTCGCAACCCCGCAACCCCGCAACCTCCCGACCCAGCAACCCCGCAACCCCGCAACCTCGCGACCCCGCAACCCCGCGACCTCGCAACCCCGCAACCCCGCAACCCCGCAACCTCGCAACACCGCAACCTCGCAACCTCGCGATCCATCAACCCCGCAACCCCGCAACCCCGCGACCCGGCAACCCTGCAACCCCGGAACCCCGCGATTTCGCAACCGCGCAACCCCGGAACCCCGCGTCCAGGCAACACCAGAATCCCGCAATCCCCGAACTCCCAACCCCGCAACCTCGCGACCTCGCAACCCCGTGACCCCGCAACCTCGCAACCCCGCAACCTCGCGATCGCGCAATCCCGCGCCCACGCGACTCCGCAACCTCGCAACCCCGCAATTCCGCAACCCCGCAACCCCGCAACCTTGCAACCCCGTAACTTCGCAACCTCGCGATTCCGCAACCCCGTAACCCCGCAACCCCGCATTCCCGCAACTTCGCGACCCCGCAACCCCGCGACCTCGCAACCCCGCAACCCCGCGACCCCGCAACCTCGCGACCACGCAACACCGCGACCCCGCAACGCCGCAAGCACGCGACGCCGCAACCCTGCAACCCCACAACCCCGCATCCCCGCAACCCCGCAATTTTGCAATCCGCGAACCTGCAACTCCGCAACCTCGCGACTCCGCAACCCCACGACCTCGCAACCCCGCAACGCCGGAACCCTGTGACCCCGCAACACCGCAATCTTGCGACCGCGCAACCCCGCAACTCCGCAACTCCAGAACCTCGCAACCCCGCATCCCCGCGACCCCGCAACCTCGCAACCCCGCAACCGCGCGACCCCGCAACCCCGCAACCTCGCGATCCAGCAATCCAGCAACCCCGCAACCCCGCATCTTCGCAATTCCGCAATTCTGGTGAACGAGGAGGAGGAAGAGGAGGAAGAGGAGGAGGAGGAGGAGAAGGAGGAGGACGAGGAGGACGAGGAGGAGGACGAGGAGGGGGCAGAGGAGCACGATACGGGGACGGGGACGGAAGGCGGAGGGTGGCTGGAGCTAGCGAGGGGCAGTGGAGGAGGAGGAGGTGGAGTAGGGGGGTGGACAGCAAGGAGGCGGAGAGTGGTTGGAGGGAGCTCGCGGCCAGGGCCACAGGAGAAGGTCCAAAGTGAGTCTTCGGCTGGTTTACTTGTGATGCTTGAGGCCGCGGCTTGAAGTGCCCAGGGATCGTGGAGGTGAACGGGGGAGATGGAGGAGGAGTGGAAGAAGGATGAGGATGAGGATGAGGATGAGGATGAGGATGAGGATGGGGATGAGGACGAGGAGGAGGAGGAGGAGGAGGAGGAGGAGGAGGAGGAGGAGGAGGACAAAACGGGGGCGGGTTCGGGAGGCGGAGGAAGGGTGGAGAGAGTTGTCGGCAAGGGCTGGGGCGTTTTCACGTGCAACGTTCGAGTGCGGCGGAGGGTGGCTGGGGGAAGTCCTCGTCTGGGGCCGGAGGAAAATGTCGGAAGTTGGCTTCGGGCGTTTTTGCGTGTCGTGTCTGACTGTGGTGCTCGAGGAGGACGGAGGGAATGAAGCCAAGAGGGTTGAGGTGGAAGGGGCGGTCGACGAGGAGGAGAGGGAGGCGGGGACGAGGGCGCAGAGGAGGCTGATACGGGCACGGGGTCGGACGTTGGAGGGTGGCCGGAGGGAGTGATGGGCAGGAGGAGGACGTGGTGGAGGAGGGGGGCAGAATATGGAAGGCATCGGAAGGCGGAAGGGGGTGGCTCGCGGCCAGGGCCGCAGGAGAAGGTCCAAGGTGATTTTTCGGTGCTTTTACTTGTGATGTTTGAGGCTGGGGCTGGAGGGGTACAGGGATTGTGAAGGCAAGGGAACGAGGAGGAGGAGGAGGAGCAGGAGGAGGAGGAGGAGGATGAGGAGGAGGAGGAGGAGGAAGGTGTGGAGGGGGAGGAGGGGGATGGAGGAGGACCGGGAGGAGGAGGAGAGAATGGGGGCGGGTTCAGAAGGCGAAGGGAGGTGAGAGGGAGTTGCCGCGTGTTGTTGCTGCGATCGCGTTCTTATTCAAACACTGCCTCCTTAAATATCATGGACTGATGGCGGCCTCGCCCTCGTTTTCGTCCTTCTCCTCATTCTTATCGTCGTCTTCGCTTCCATCTTCTCTTCCGTTCAACCTAGGGCTTAGGGCTTAGGGCCTAGGGCTGATGGCTTAAGGCTTAGGGCTCAGGGCTTAGCGCTTTGGGCTGTGTGCCCAGGGCCTAGGGCTTAGGGATTATGCCTTAGGGCTGAGGGCTTAGGGCTTGTGGCTCAGGGCTCAGGGCTCAGGGCTGAGGGCTTAGGGCTTAGGCCTCAGGGCTTAGGATTTAGGGCTGAGGGCCAAGGGCTTAGTGTTTTAGGGCCCAGAGCTTAGGGGTCAGGGTTTAGGGTTTAGGCCTTAGGCATTAGGCCTCAGGGCTTAGGTCTGAGGGCTTAGGGCTGCGGGCTCAGGGCATACGGCTTAGGGTTTAGGGCGTAGAACTTCGGGCCCAGATCTTATGCCTTATGGCTAAGGGCCTAGGGCTTAGGGCTCAGGGCTCAGGGCTTATGGCTTATACCTTAGGGCTTAGGGCGTAGGGCTTGGTGATTCGGGCTTGGGGCTTTGGGCTTCAGGCTTAGGCCTTAGGGCTTAGGGCTTAGAGGTGAGGGCTCAGGGCTTAGGGCGTAAGGCTTATGGTTTAGGGCTTAGGGCTGAGGGCTCAGGGCTTAGTGATTCGGGCTCAGGTTTTAGGGCTTAGTGATTAGGGCTCAGGTCTTAGGGCTTAGGGCCTAGGGGGTTAGGGCTTAGGGCTTTGGGCTTTTGGCGTTGGGCTTAGGGCTTAGGTATGAGGCCTTAGGGCTTACGGCTTAGGGCGTAGGGTTTGGGCTTAGGGCCAAGGGCTTAGGGCTTATGGCTGAGGGCTTAGTGCTGAGGACTTAGGGCTCAGGGCTAAGGCCTTAGGGCTCAGGGCCTAGGGCTTAGGGTGTAGGCCTTAGGGCTTAGGGCTTGGGGCTTAGGGCTTAGGGCTTAGCGATAAGGGCTTCGGCCTCAGGGCTGAGGGCTCAAGGTGTAGGGCTTAGGGCTTCGGGTGTAGAGCTTTTGGCTTCGGGCTTACGGCGTCGGGATTAGGGTTTAGGCCTTAGGGCTTAGGGCTCAGGGTTTAGGGCTTAAGGGGCCATGGCTGAGGCCTCAGGGCTTAGGGCTCAGGGCTTAGGGCTTAGGGTCCAGGGCTTAGGGCTGAAGGCTCAGGTCTTAGGGCTTGGGGGTTAGGGGTTCGGGCTTATCGCCTACTAGGCGTGGCCACGAGTAGACCGTGACCGCGAACCCACCTGCGGTGGCCGTCACTCCCACCCGCACGCCACCCCACCATAAAGATCATCTCTCCCCTAGTGAGAACCGCATCAAATACAGCGTCGACGAGGACGATGACGACGACGGCGACGACGGATGTGCGATCGAGTGGGCACGCGAGTGCTGTAACGGGCGGGACGAGTCGGGTCGGGCGGAAGAGGTTCTGCACGCATGCGCAGGAAAGGCTAGTCGGTGGAATCGGTGGATCGGGTCACAACGGAAGGCACTTTGTATGGTAAAAATACAAGAGATTCTGCACGCGTGCGCAGGAAGTGATATTTTTGCCGTAGATGGAACGGGTTTACATAAGAGGGGCGCACTTGGTGCTGTAAAAAAAATATGAAAATTCTGCACGCATGCGCAGGAAATAATATTTTGCAGTAGATGGACCCGGGTCGCGACGGGGACTGAGCACTTTGTGTTGTAAAAAATAAGAGATTCTGCACGCATGCTCAGATTTTTTTGCAGTAGATGGAGCCGGGTTGCATGGTGGCCGCTTTTATGGTAATTAGGGTTTAATCATTCTTGGATGAAGAATTTAGTGATTAGGGCCCAGGTC